CTAGATACTAAGCATACTTTCGAAAAAAATTTAAGAGAAGAAAATGTTTCGGTCGCTACCCGGATTCGAACCCGGGACCTTTGAATGAGAGGCCAACACCTTAACCTCTAGGCCACGAGAGCCCCGACGAAACTTTAGTTGAAGTGAATATTTTTCGTCACAAAGATTTCATTGACGTAATATATTATCTTTCTGTGAGCTTCACTGCTGTTGTGGCCTACTGTTGATAGTCTGTATGTAGCTCTAGTGCCCGAATGTTACCTTTAATTATTTATTTTATTGAATTTTGAATCAAAGTTATGTTAATTTGTTCAATTAATAACCACTTTAAGCATGAAAGGAAATATTGATGTACCAGTATCTTCAGATATCAGGCTGATCATGTCTGTCTGTCAGTCTGCCTGTCCGTCTCTTTCTCCTTCTCCACCTACCCTCCCCCCCCCTCTCTCTCTCTCTCTCTCTCTCTCTCTCTCTCTCTCTCTCTCTCTCTCTCTCTCTCTCTCTCTCTCTCTCTCTCGTATCTTCTCCTATGTCAGCAGAGTTTACTACATCAACATACTATGTTTCTCCATAGTTAAATACATAATATAATTATTATATAGACATCCATCAGGGAGATATGTAGATCTAGATCTAGATTCGTCTCATGGCTTTGTATAGAATCATTCCCTGCTATTTCATTGGTTGTCTTTGACAGAAACAATGTGATGTTGACCCTGTACTAGTTAACAGCTGACCACTGCCTTTGAAAGTCTCGTTTTGTTTTGGTACAGAGAGTTGTTTTTTCTGCCTAGTTCAGATTTTCTTTCTCCTAATTTATGGCCATTTTGGAAGTTCCATTCATCGAGTTTGTCTGTCTGCTTGTATGTCAATCCGAACGTAATTCAACCTACCATTTGAATCTCTCTCTCTCTCTCTCTCTCTCTCTCTCTCTCTCTCTCTCTCTCTCTCTCTCTCTCGCTCTCTTCCTCCCTCTCTGGCGTTCTCTGTCTCATATTCATGTTGAGATTCTCAAACTTTGTATTATGCAATTTCAAGATCTTTATGTTGTTGAGCTTTCATTCCAGGAAAATATAACACAAATTGTACCACTGTGTTTCAGCGTTCAAGAAATACTTTGTACTTGAACCAGAAATCGGAACCTTTCAACAGGTGTCATAAAAAATGTAGAGCTGTTAAACTAGAAAATGGGAATCAAAGACCGTGCACTCTGAGCGACATATGAAGAAATCAATTCTTCAGACCAACTGGCAACACAACAGGGGTGGGGATAAATATTAACGAGCGTATCAGTGGGGTCAGATATAGGTTTCAAACAAAGCCAGATATTCGTTTGTCGCTATGGCACTACAAGAAGAGAGCGGAAAATTACCAACTGTCCTCACTGGGTGCTCTCAAATAAGAAACAAATCCGAGTTTCCTTCAAAGTTCAACACCATGTGTTTGAGCTTAAGGGGAGGAGCGACCCTTGATTTTGCAGATTTTGGGTCAGGCTATGCACATTTTATTATGGCTGATTTTTTAAGATAAACCTGTTTTTTGTCTAAAAATTGCATGGATACAATTGAGAAAGACTTTATTCTCCAGGTAAATTGCCTTTAAAAACATGAGGATGGATTAATATAGTGAATTTTCACAATTATTGTCGGTTTCCAAAAAATGTAATTTTTGTGCAGTTTTTTCCCTACTCCTTCCTTAGTTTTCATCCATTTGACATGAAACTTTCAGGAAACATAGTTGGCAAGGCTGCCATCAATATAACAGAGAGATATTTGCGAAACAAATAATACTTTTCCATTGGCAAGCAATTTCGTAACCTAAATTTTTTTAAAGTTTTTTTATACTTTGGGAAAATTTTCATATTTATTTTTCTTTTGCACTTATTGAAAAAAACTTGCTGTTACACTGATAGGGTCTGGTTCAGGTATACTCTCCCCACATTTGGTCAAATTTAGTCTGTAAATAAGAAAGCCTTAGGGATTTGAAACCCATTGTTTATTTTCAAGATGGCGGCCGTTTCCATAGCAACCGCTTTAGCTATATCAAAATGAAATTGCGTATCAAGAGATTTTACTATGTCTAACTTATATGTGTACTTAGATTTGATCTCGGGCAACAAACATAGAAAATGGTCCTCAAGGGTAGCTCCTCCCGTTAATCGGCTGCTCGCACTGTATGCTTCCCGGGAAGCTGAGATTGTTTCGGAGTGTTCTATGGTCTGCTGGGGTAATAATATAGTGTAAAGCGCATAGAGCCTGCTGTTGAGCGGGGATATGCGCTATACAAATGCTATCTATTATTATTATTATTATGATAAGTCTGCTATGAAGATAAGCCATTGCACTCAGTATAATAGTTGTCTTACGATGTATAGTTGATTATGGTACGTTTTGAACCGAAGACGCACAACAGCAGAAAAGATAAATTCATAATAATGTGTGTCATGTCATTTACTTACTTGTATGTTTGTTAATGCGCGAGTGTTTAAACTACTTAAAACA